CTAGAGAAATACAGTACACCAATTTGTTTTATTGCAGTATTTGATAATCATGAAAGTTTTTCAGATTGAATTCCTCGTCATTGGTTTGGTCAATATTCTAACATTTCTTCGTTGATATAGTCGAGTAATAAATTTATGTACATGACCACACTGGGAAGCATGACATGTTGTTCCCCTCCTAGTGAGTTTGTAACTTCTGCAATTGTTTAAGAAACCTATTGGTTTTTAATTAACCAAAATAATTTTTTGCATTCCAAGCGCAATAGATCAAAAATAATTATCGAAAACATTGTAGAAAATTAAGTGTCTAACTAAACAGTTTGTTTAATAAATAAACAAGAATAATTAAATTATATATACAAGGATTTCCACAGTTTTCACTGTATTCCTTCACTCAACCGTTTTCTCCAATTTTTCTGTTTAGCCAGTCCCCTTCCTGTAGGTTTCTTCTTCTCATTGCTTCGTCCACTTCATCTCTGAAAGATCTTCGGGGTCTGCCTCTCTTTCTTCTTCCTATCGGGTTCCACTCTATTATTCTAGTTATCCACCCATTTTGATCAGCTCTTCTGACATGTCCGTACCAGGTTCATTCCCATTCTCCTCTTAATCTCCATGTTATTTATTATATATTTTCTTGTTACTCCGCAGCTTCTCCTTAGGAATTCCATCTCTGTTGCTCTTATTTTGTTTTTGGTTTTCTTATTTATTGTTCAATTTTCGCACCCATAAGTGAGGATACTTCTTGTCATGGTATTATATATTTTTTTCTTTGTTTTCATGCTGATATTCTTATCCCATAGTACCGGGTTTAATTTTCGTATGCAGTCTCTTGTTTGTCCTAGTCTATTTTTTATATCTTCCTCCGTTGTTCCTTTGTTTGATATTATGAAACCTAAATACTTATACTTGTCTGCTGCTTTGATTTGTTTACCTTCGTCTATTTCCAGCTGTTTTATTTCTATATTCTCCGTTGTTAGGTATTCAGTTTTCTTTAGGTTTATTTCGATCCCATTCTTTGTATATTCTTGCTCCAGTTTTCTCATCATAAAAATGAGGTCATCCTCGTCTTGTGCGATCACTATTTGGTCATCAGCAAAACTTACGCATTCCTTCGCACTTTCTTTTCCATGGATTCAGGGGTTTTTCCAGGAATATTTTGAACAGGGTGGGGGATGTGGAGCAACCCTGTAGTAGTCCCTTTGTCGTTTTAAATGGACTGCACATTCTGTTGCCCGTTTTGATAGCTACTTCGTTATTCTTGTAGAGTGCTTTTACCGCGTTTATTAATCTTCGTGGAACTTCGATGTCTTCCATTGCTTCCCATAACTTGGTTCTAGGTATTGAGTCATATGCCTTCTTAAGATCAACAAAAGCCAAATGAACGGATCTATTTTTGGCCATTCTTTTTTCTATTAGTTGTTTTTTCTAATAATTAAATTATCCTCACTAAATTAAAGACTGTACGATCAGCATGACTTGCCTCTTCTTGCTGTATCTTATCTTCTTCGACTGTTAAATTTTCAGATTTAAACTATTCAAACTACTTACTCCTACGGCACTTCGTCTTTGCATTTTCAAATTAGAAGATTCTCAAATAGAAGCAAGTAAATAGTTCATCTCACGCTTCTCAAATAAAAAAAGTTAATTTTATTTTATTAAATAGTTCTTCTTGATGTACCTATCCGTTACGAATGTTGCGATCATCATGGCAATCTTTATCTTATCTGCAGCAGAGCGGAAAAGCTGCACATATGTTGTATTAAACCAGATTCTGAGGTTCTGTAACCAAGATGTTCTTCGTCTTCCTGGACCTGGCTTTCCAAATATTTTTCCTTGCAGGATGGCTTGAAGGAGAGCATATCTGGATTCATTTCGCATAATTCGCATATGTCCAAAGAATTGTAACTTTGGTTTTTTGATGGTGGTCAGTACCTTTCGGTTCTTATTCATTCTTCTGAGGACCTCTTCATTTGTGACTCGGTCAGTCCACGGGATCTTAAGTATTCTCCGATATAGCCACATCTCAAACGCTTCTAGTTTTCTGCACATATCTTCGTTCAAGGTCCACGACCCAACACCATAAAAAAGGACAGAGAAGACGTAGCATCGCAGCATTCTTACTTTTATATCAGGAGGGACGTTGTGATTCTTGAAGAAGGCCTCATCCGATTGAAGGTGATTTTGATTGACAAAATGCGCGTGCATCCCTAATGGGTATCATCAATAAATGTAAAAGTAATGGTTTCAAGTGCCTAGGATCGATATTACAGACTAATGGGGAATGGGGATTGGTGGGACACAAAGATTCTAACGAATCTAAAGGAAAATTCTATAAAACAGTCATAACACCAGCTATGATGTACTGAACTGAATGTTTGGCAGTTAAAAAGAATGCATGTGTCGTAAAGGAGAATGCTGAGATGGATCAGTTGACTGATAAAAAAAGATAAACTTAAGAATGACTATATTAGGGGAAGTCTCCAGGGAAGTTCCTGGAAGGAGTAGGAGAGGAAGATCAATGATTAGGCAGCGCATTTCAGGACAAGGAGATTGATATTGGCCATGACTGAAGACAGAAACTTATGGAGAAATATAATTAGGGAAGCTGACTCTCCAAAAGGATAAACTACTAGAGAAAGAATATAGACTACTAACGAATCACCAACTTGAAAACACAATTAAAAAAAAATAAAAAGAAATAGACGGCAAGATTAGATTTATCTTAAGGCAGAAAGATTTTAAATTAATCTTCACCTTTCTTATAATGTGAAAATATGTAAAATATCTTAAACACCAGCGAAAATGTAATTCTAAATATAACTAAAAAACGTAAAGTGGAATAAGATCTTACTATAATGCTAATAATTTATGTGCGTTGATAATTGTGCAATGGTTGTATATCAAAGTTTATCTGTAAATATCAGTTAAATGCAGCTGCTTTGTGTGATGTTCAATGACGAAACATAAATTTAATCCGCGCCTTTTGTCTAGAATCCAAAATATTTAACATTCAACCCCGCGTTGACGACGTGCCTAACGTACGAGGCATATAGTCTAGAAATAGATCTTATAATCTGTACTACGGCATCGAGAAGATACACGCCCCGAGCATCCGAGTCTACATAAACTAACTACACAGACTTCCATCAGCAGCGAAGGGAAAATAATAAAACAAAACCGTAGGGGCCAACAACACCAGCTCCTAGCTAAGGCAACGGCGCAAAAAACCACTGCATGTTACGTGTAGTTTGTTCCTTGTGTCGAAGAGAGAACGAGAGGAAGAAAGACACGGAGATTACAACAGTGAAGGATCTATAGGGGTAAATGAATAGATTTAATCGAATGCATATATTATTTCCAATCAGAAAATGATAGAAAGAGAAATTAAAAGTTGGCTAGCAAATTCGTTTAATAGAATTATGACTTAAAAAAAGTACAAGCATGTATATACGGGGTCATAAAACTATTTTGCCACGCTCTTATAATATGGTAGAGAGTAACTGATAAAAGTATCCTTGAAGAGAAGAAATATCAGTTTGGATTTATACAAAGATCAAAGACAGATGAAATTATCGTTTAAAGAAGTGATGAATCCGACCATTACTTAATAAATTAATCAAGTTGATGTGTAGTATGCGGTAATACAAAATACTCTCATCAAGGGATTTATCCATTTTTTAGTTGAACACTTTTAAATAAACAGTCAAAACGTAAAACTCAAAGTTTTGCGTCAACAGACAATTTTTTTCAGGAAAAAAAGATATACAAAATGAGATAGGTATACCAAATTAAAATCGGATAAACAAAAAAGTTATTGCAAAACAAACAAAATCGCTGTTTTTGAATATTGTTAATAACTTTTTTATTATTTATTAAAATCGGTTCACTTAAATGTACCTGAACTAAGGATCTTATTGTGGTTGAATTGTATGCAAAAGATTGGCCAGATTGATTAAATAGTTTTTGTGAAATTTAATTTGTCTATAAGATTTTTTTAAAAATGAGCCAAGTCCAGATATTTTGACTGAATGGATCTGAGCTAAGTCCAGATATTTTGAGCGAATGGATCTGAATAGTCTGAGGCTTATTTTCTTTGTTGAGATGTATACTATTGTAGCATTTCAAATCACCTTGTATGTATTAAAACACCGAAGAATATTTTCAATGTACATATTTCTATTTCCTATCGTTTATGCCAAAACACCGAAAAAGTATTTTCAATCAGTTTGTTTATATATCACAGATGCGTATTTCTTCGGTATTTTCTTTGATCGAGAGCCGCTTTAGGATTGCCGATTTTGCGCGTCAAATAAACAGAAATATTTCGGTTTATATGCTTTGTTTATACTGAGTTAGGTGAACGATTTTTGAAGAGAATGACATCACTCTCAGTGAGGCTGCTGTCAACAGCAGTTGGTTTCGGCATTGGTACGAATTTTCATATAACTCGAAATGGTTTTTCCTTATTGTTGTTCTTTGTTATCAGAAATAGTGAAGTTTGGTAGTATGTAGCAGGTCGAAGTCAAATTCAGGTTTGGAAGAGATTTGATAGAGAGCAGACACGGCGTGTTTAGTCTAGAGGAACCGGCAAATTTGTCGTAAAAAAAGTGAGTTATACTCGACTGTAATGTGTCAGTTTTTATGAGTAGTCACTGCTTTGTTTTAATGCCGTCCCTCATGTAGGGATTTGTAAAAACGGTGTTTCCAACAACTTAGAAGGATACCCACATGTTCCATTGCATCTGAGTTTTTAAGAAGCCGAATTTTGAAGATTGTGTCCCAGTGCCTGCCCAGCTTCCATCATCATTTTGTTTATCCGAAGTCATTCCAGACTATTTCGCAGCGTGAGATGCAGTTTTTTGCGTTGAAATGGCAGATTTCATATTTTTGCACAATCTTACTTGAATTGATATGGTTGTTTATGTTTTCTTCACTTAAATTCAATTTTCCTCGCATTCTGCTTTCTCCTTTTTCTTATCGTAGGTATTATACATATCTTGCTAAATAGGGAAGGTTTGGTTAAAAGTTAAAAACGTTCTATTTCTTAGTTTTATCAACAGGCCGATCATATCTATTTGAGTCCTGCCCCACCTCGTCAAAACTACGTTCGTTCTAATAACACCTTGAACACTACAAAATGTCAACCAGAACAGATCTGTAATTGCCAGCTTGACTATATGAACAACCGAATATTTCCTACAGTAAAATTTGATAGACCTAGGATTGATTTTGGTGTGATGTGTAAATAAGGATCTGTACGGATCACCGAGCTAAAATAAAAATTTTTAGATAAATAAACTTTTTTATTTTAGTTGTTTTACACATCCCACCAACACAATCCTAGGTCTATAAAATTTTACTGTAGGAATTATTCGGTTGTTCCTATACTTAGTCGTGCTGGTAATTGCAGATCTGTAACACTTTGTAGTGTTCAGCGTTTTATTAGAGCGAACGTAGTTTTGACGAGGTGGTACAAGTTTCAAAGAGATATGATCGACCTGTTGATAAAACCGAAAAATAGAAAGTTTTTACTTTTAACCAAACCTTCCCTATTCAGCAAGAATGTACGATATGTACAAGAAAATGGAGAAAGCACAATCTTAGTTGAAATAGTGTTCTTATAACAAAAGTGTATGTTGCCAAGAAAAAATGGTTTAAACAATTTTTTGCGCTAATACACTAAATTTTGTTTTGGATAATTTGGAACGAAAATACGATAAATGTTGTTTTAAGGTTGTACCCAGTTTTAAAAAAGAAAGAGCAAATTTGGTTCAGTAGAACCCGAGATATCATAATATGTTGAAACTGTGTTAGTTGTTTTCGAAGAGCGCAACTGGCCCTTCACTCGGTTACCCCCATTTCTTTTATTCTAGTTGGACGCAAAGTACTCTTTCTTTAAAACACTCCTGTTTAAACAATTTTCAATTATTTTGTTTGCTAAAAGTTTTGTTAAAAACTTCGACTTTTCTTATAAAAGATTGGCCAATGTCAGCCCATGACTTAAGAAAGAGCTAACTTGGCTTCTAAGTGTCTTAGGACCTTTTTGTTTTTTTTTTTTAAGTTGTGTTTTTAAACAATTTTCCGAATATTTGTTTGCCATTTAACTTGAGCTAAATTCTACATAATTATTGTAAATGTTTATAGGCTTAAAAAGTGCTATTTATTATTAAATCATTTTGTGTACACATAAATGTATTTTTTTTTAAACTTTTTTCCGTAAGTTATTAGTATACTTCTTAACAAAGAAAATAAGCCACGAATTATGGAAATTCATTATATCTGGATCGCCCTTAGAAATTAGCTCATTTTCAAATAATCATAATTAAAAAACAAATTAAATTTCACAAAAAGTATTCAACCAATCTGGCCCATCTTTTGCACAAAATTCAACCACAATAAGACTCTTAAGTTTAGGTACATTTAAACAAATTTTAATAACTAATAAAAAAGTAATTACAAATATTCAAAAACAACGATTTTGTTGTTCATTTTGCAATCATTTATTTGTTTATTAACCAATTTAAATTTCTACAGAGTGCCTTTTTTAGTGATGTATTTTTAGTTCTCTTTAACTGAATAATTTGAGAGGAAAGCTATTTGTCTCAAGTTAGTCCTTCATATTTATATCTGATTTTTTTTTTATTTTTTATTTTCCATAAATTCTAATAAAAATAGCTTGGCCTTTATTTTAATACGGAAAATTTGAAATTGGCCGTTAAAAGAATAATTATGATCTAGAAGGTAAAGTGTGTTCCTACAATTTGTTTTTCTATTATCGAAAGCCCTTTTATGTTCTGCTATACGTTTGTTAGAGGTTCTACTAGTTTGACCAACGTAAGCATTTGGGCAGTCACCACATGTAAGAGGTATACACCACTGTGTAACAACAAGAGCCAAATATTATCTGGTATCTGGCCTCTCCGAAAATATTATCTGGTAATCGGAGAAAACTGTTGGGTGACAGGGGGGTGGGGGGGGGTATTTTTTTGTGGGGGGGGGGGGTTATATTTTTGGGGGGGGGGGGGGGGGGGGGGGGGGGTGATTATTTGTATTGGTTTGAATGTGCTGGTTATGGTTGAAGGGGTGGTAGGTAGTTGCTATGGGGGATTGAATTGATGAAGTAATTTGTATTGGGGATTAGGGTTGTGAAATTATGTGAGTGTTTGTACATATATAAGTATGCTGGACGAGTGCCGTTGTTTTTGTAGTATGGGATTGTAATTTGTGGTAGTATAGAGTATTTTAAGAAGGTGAGGGAGATTGATGGTAGGTGAGGGGGATAGATGGAATATAAGATATTGTTGTCAATGGGGGATGGATTGTACTTATTGTGGATTACTTAAATGTGAGGGAGATAAATGTGTGGTTTAAGTAATTTTATAGTGCTGTATTATATATATATTGGTATTGGTGAGTGGTTATTTGTAGTAGGGGAATGAGTTTGGGTTGGGGGGTGTGGGGGGGTGGTAAGGGAGTAGGATGGGTGTTGAATTATGAAAGGAAAACTTTATGATTGGTTTTAGGGTGGTGTTGAGGAGGTGTCAGGTGTGGATTTTGAGATAATAGGTATTATTAGGAAGTTAAAGGATTGGTTAGGTGGTAATGAATGTGATTGTGTGAATGGATTTGAAGAGGAGTTATGGTAGTGATCAGATTTTGTATGGGGGTTGGTTGGGGTTTGGGTAAAGAGTTATTATGGATGTGATTGATTTAAGGAGGTTGAGTGGTGTATTGTGGTTTAGTTTTAGGATGTCGGGTGTGGGAGGTATGGGTGTGGAGGGTTGGTATTGGTATATTAATTTTGGATTAAATTTAATTTATGCATTTTATACAACGTGGCTCGTGAATCACCTGCGTGAATGAAATCAAGTAACCGTGAGCTGGAGCAAACGGGAAGAGAACACCACTCACGAGGCCATCCCTACTACCAGGACATATTTTCTTGCAACTTTTTGCCGTTTTCTTTTTATTTTTTGTTGATAATATTAAAGATTTCTAACCAACATGCAAAGTGTTATGTATGACCAAAAGGAAACAATATCTTGAATAATTTACATAAAATTTTCATTTGCAGTGTACTTGACAATGAACAATTTGAATAAAGGCATCCACAGAAGCCCCTAACAATAAGACGCATCACAATACGGAACAAAAAGAACCTGCCAACTACAAGAATTGCCCATCCAAGCAACATCTTTACCTGTCTACACCAGACAGGTAGAAATACCGTAGTGTTAAAACAAGAATCTAATGAAATACTTCTATAAATCCGAAAGTTTTGAAAACGACTCTTGTTTTATATTTCAGTAGCCCACCATTGAGTAAGTCCACATCTGTGTTATAATCAAAAACAAAAATCAAGACCACAAAACAACAGACGAACGCGTCTGGTTTCGAGGTAAACAACACAAAAGAGTATCAGAAAAGAAAACAAAAACAACTCAGCCATATTTCAAATCCACCTTGAAACATGGCTACCTCGTTACCTGTCAATTATTTGACAGAAGAGAACCATCCACAGAAACAAACGAATCACACAAACAAAAGAATTGGGATATAAGCCAATAAACCTGTTGCATTATTTTTTTTTAAATGTAAAGGTAGAATGATAATTAATATGTATTATTTACAAAACTCCCTGTATGTTTAATATACTTATGTATGTGTAGTTAATACCTTAAACATTTATCATTAGTAAAATTATAACAGGGTTGAATATAGCATTGTATTGAACCAGGAACACACCCCTTTTAACAAGGTAAACAAACATCCCAAGGGTACATAATGAATTAATGTATTTACCATATCAGGTCCCATGTCTTTCATATCCTATCAAACTGACATATTCCTTAAACGCACTATGCCACTAATACTTCAGTATACACTGCTTTATTTGATATAATACTTCAATTTGGTATATTTTCCCCACTGTGTACACCACAAAAACAACAACACAAACCGGCGGCGGGTCCCGGCTCACTTAGAATCGTAGCTGTAGGTGCGGCATTCGGCGTCAGACTGAGCTTAACAAAGAAATGGCGATATGGACGCGCCTGCGCGACGCTGCAATGCGAGAGTATTTGACCGGCTAGGCAGCAAGGCGGTGGGTTTTTCGACTCGCTCTTGGAGAACCCGTACATACGCGGAGGATGAAGGTGCGTAGCATTCGGCAGCGGTGTTGCCAACGTGTCCCTACCTTTCTTCTCAAACAATTGATGACAGTTTTACCCATTAATCAAGTTTTTATCCTAGAATACGGCTTAAGACACCTCTCTGAAGGTAACGGCAAACCAATGTGTAGTAATTTAATTTTGCCTCGAATATATTTTGGGTAGTAATGTAAATTTTTTGTTGTTAGATTTTAATTTGCCTTTTTTGGTAATAGGGGGCTGTGCAAAATGTGATTTGTTAAACAATTTTATTGATATTCATAATCTTACCCAACAACTCAGTGTATAATCACATGCAAAGAAGGTTGGATTTAGTATTTTCAAACATGAATGTCAACAATTTAATTAAATGCAATGTACCACTTGTTAATGAGGACATATATCATCCTTGTCTTGATTTTATGGACACATTTAATTTTTTTAGGTTCAACCGAGAATTGTATTAAAAATTAATCATTTTTCATGTATCGAAAATCGGGTCATTTTTTTATTTTTTTAAACAAGGACTGGATTACCATCATTTTATTGATTATTTAACATTTTTATGTTGAAAATGATATTTTTGAATAGATTAAGCCATAATTGGTTATAATAATCAAATTTTTGTTAGTTTTTGACGTTTCGACTTCCAATCCGGAAATCATTCTCAAAAAAGGAAAAATTAGAAAATCAACTGATGTGGGATCTTCATGTTGATATAACCTTAATATTTATATTTTAATATATTTAATGCTGGACTGAAATTTCGAGGTGGAATATCTAAGTTAATGTTTTGGTATATTAATTTTGTTGGCAACAACGAAAGTGGTACTAAAAATTGCACAGAAATAGCTCTTATGTAAACAGGCTAGGCAAGAGATATGCCATGCAAGGCCGACTTGCATAGCATGGGACTTGTATTGCTCACATGTAAAACTGCTTTTTCCTGATCAAGAATAAACAACAACCAAACTTTCGAACATGGGCCCTTAAAAAAATCCTTCAATAATTTTGATCTGTTTGAAGTTTTCAGAAAATACGTCTTTAATCCATCATAAACATAAGATTGCTTGCACGTATGTGAACATTTCCAAAAAGCGAGTTTTCCCATAACTAAGAAT